AAAAAAAAAAAAAAAAAAAAAAAAAAAAAAACAAATATAAAAATAAAAACATGTCAACTCTATGTGTAAATAATTCAAAAGACGGAGCCAGCATGCAAATATCGACCAACTGCAAAAATTATACATTTTAACAGAAAATTATATAAATAAAAGAAATTCATATAAATATATATATATATGTATATGTAAAAAAATCAACAATCATAGGATAATACCGAAACGACCATAAGTAACATATACAATTAAACAAAAAAAAAAAAAAAAAAAAAAAATGTTAAAAAAAAATATAGAAAGATCATATTGCTCTGTGACTAAAAAGCACTCTAGCATAAGCAGAATTTTTCATTTTAAAATTAAGTCGACTTTAAATCCAATGGAAGCTGATGACTGCTCCGTTTTTAGTGGCACCAGATTAAATTTGAATCTAGGCTTTAATTTTAAGTTAAAGCTTTTCGATTTCAAAAATAAGCTCGAGTTATGCTGCTATTGCCTTTCCGTCACAGTGACTTATCTGATTTAGTTTATGATGCAGGGTAAAAACTATTCTTTGCTTTCCTATAAGGGATGAGGGAGTTTTAGTTTGTCATCTGCCTTTTGTGAAAAAGTGTAGGGTAATATTTTCGTTTAAATTTTAAGTAAATATAATAAAATGATGAAAAGCCATTATTTGTAACCGTTTGCATTACTGTGATCAAAAAGTAGTCCGAGTAAAGCTTTCTTCAATTATCGTGATGTGGTGGTGTGGCTTAAGAACTTCTTCGCAAGGATTATAGGCAGGCAAGGCTTCGTTTCGATCTCACGATAACGCATCATCATCATTACACTCCGGCATTTGTATTCTTTTCAAGACTTTTATCCCCCAAAGCAATTCAATTCGTATCGTGTCTGCCCGATTTTGGGATCGTCTGGCGAGTTCTGGCAGGTAATCTCTTGAAACTCTATTGAAAAATGTTTTTTTTTTTTTTTTTTTTTTTTGGACAAATTACCAAACATATCGCCATGAAACGTGACACAGATGCCAGTTAGGATGTTGCCAACCTAAGAAGAAAACAAACTACTCGTTTGGAAAGCCCGTGCGATTTAATTAGAAAACTCTTACTACTTTCCGATCACAGTATTATATGAAATGATTTTTGATTAAATTGGTTTTGATTTTTTTTTTCAATTTAAGTGCATATGAAAATACTGGAGTAAGCGGATGAAAAACCCGAAGCCCCTTTCTTGCATATTTTTAGTAAAATTTTATGGGACAATATTTTTTTTTTTGTGTTAAACCCTACACCACACTAAAATCTATATCGTGAATTTAGGAATTAAAATCTCCGAAGCAGCGACGAAATACTAAGCACTACATCGCAGAAGATCCAAACCTACCAACGTGGAGGGTAAGAAGATATTTTTGAAGCAATCATGGCTTTATGAACAAATGCTATTGTTAACGACGTCTTGAAGGTGATAAGAACTGGGGACAGTTGCTAGTGTTGGTAGTGATGGTTGTTCGTCCGTAAAATCATTAGAGAGAACTAAAGCTACGTCCAATAATGGTTCGTTAAACTTGTAAAATTATTGTTCAGAACGAACGATTTAACAGAAAGCAAAGTGAATTGCTGTAGAACAATGAATCGGTCTAACAGTGTATATGGTGAATGATGTACGAGTGTAGACTGAACGCAATTAGCTATCAGTGTCGCATGCGAGTTGTGGGCAAGATGCCTACAATTCGTGGGACGACTCTTTGTCAAAGCGAAAGGTGAAGAGCATCGAAAGCTTGACTAACGACGGGCAGTCGTTTGAACAAAATGCTTTTTATTCTTATCCTGAACGGAGTATTTTTATTTTTCTTTATTGATAAAAATAAAAATTAGTTCCTGTCTGATTAGCAAAAGAAGCTGAGTTGATAAGGTCCAAATGATTTTGGAAAAATATAAGTAGAATGATTTATTGAACAATATGTTAATCGCTGATGGGACTTAGACCCACTACAAAATTCAGCTTCGGATTTCGTATTTTCGAAATAAGATTCAAAATGATTATGGCTTCAAAGTTCTAGAATAGAGAAGTCCTGATGATACGTGAGCTCTTAATAGCTTTTATACGAAATAAAAAAAGAGCCGTTTTTTCACTGAGCAGGCATTTGTTTTTCAACTCTTATTATCCTATCATCGTTTTGTGAATTTTTCAATTAGTCTGACATAGCGAGTATATTTTTAGCAAAGTATAGCAGCTGTTAAGAGTAGTTTCGTCTAAGTGAGATTTTCTTTAAAGACAGACAGAGGATTTGCGTCTATTTGCTAAATTTATTCGGATTGCAGAATATTTGCATTAAGAAAAGCGTAAGATAAGAAGAAGCATTTTAACTGTTAACCAACATATTCTGAAAGCTTAAATGATGTGGAGCGGTGGCGTAGAGTTTTAAGTTAAAGAATGATAATGAAAACAATTAAATAATGCAAAAAATAAATAAATAAATAAATTAATGAATCATAATAAAAACACAATAATAATGAAGTTGCTAAAGTAATCCAATAAAATGCAATAAATAATAAATTAATTCTTATATAACGAACAATAAGCTTATGTAATATGAATTGCAAGCATTACTTCATATTTTAAACTGAAATTATAAATAGTTACTTGAAAATTGTTTGATACCAGTAATTACAGTTATATATATAGTTTTTAAATCTTTTAGTGATGTTTGATATGATAAATGGATATTATTACGAAATCGTCAAAGATTATTGCACGCATTCAATAACCAAAATTTAAGTTTTGGTTAATTATTAAATTGAAATAAAAAAAAATAATAATGTATATATATATATATATATTTTAAATTTCATTCATGTATGTAAGTATATAAGAAGAGAGCTTATCTAGCGAACAACCCACCGCTATGATCTGCGTATTCCGTCAGCAAAGGATTGCCGGTGAGGGCAGCATAGTTTGTATAATCGCCGTAGGGAGCAAATATCATGCCATGAGCGGCATTCTCAAAGGTAGCAGGAGCGGGAGTGCCCGACAATATGCTGGCCGTCGCCGTGGTTGGCACTGTCATACGCTGTGACAGTATTAGAGGCGCCCCCAAAGGAGCCGCTGTAGGAGCGCGCATCTGTTGAGCCAATCCTGGCAAAGCAGGCGTCAACAGACGATTATCGGCCGAGGCTGCAGCAACTACGCGACGCCATTCATCTTCACAAACTAAATTAAGACAAAAAAAAAAACCAAAAACAAGAAACAGATTTTGTGATGAAAAACTCCGTCGAATGCTCGCAAGCACCAAAAGTGAGATCTTTTTCTCTCAAAAATTATTCATTTTTTGTTTTCTCTCAGTTAACCGATTAATATTTATTAACATTGTTATGTTTTAAGTAGAAATTAGAAAAGAAAAAGGTGAAATTATAATTGAAAGTAAGGACATTCATGTATAAACATACCTTGAGCGGCATTTTTCGCTGAGGTGGTATCCCTATACGTGCCATTAATTATAGCTAATTCCATAAGTTGACGTTTTTTAAGTTCATCTTCGCCTTCAGCTTGCTGTTAGTATTTGGTATGGTTTTGGATTTTTTTGTATTGTTTGTAATTTTTTTTTTTTTTTTAAGTTAAAAATAAAATCACATTAATTCTGGTTATTCATGGTAAATAATTTTTTAGAAGATATTATTTAAAAAAAAAAAAAATTAATAAATTAATTCAATTAAATTTAACTGATTTCCTTTTTTTGATTATTTCCGTCAGACTTTTTAAAATATTTTTCATTAACAAGTAAAATATATAGAAAAAAATGAAAGATCCATTGGTTAGCATCAAGAAAAAGGAGGACAATTAAAGAACATTTACAGAAATTATTATATTGGTTTTTAATCCTTTCTTTCAAAAAAAAAAAAAATTAATAAAATGTACGTCCGTAATTCTAGACTTTTAGAAAAACTTACCGGCACGAGAAGCTTTTGCACCTCATTCACGGCCTGAGTTAATTTGATTTTGGCACGGTTCTCTGTGTCTTCAACAGTTATCAGAACATGTAATTCGTCTGATAAGTGTTCCCAGTTCGGTTTACCTCTGTTAGCGTCTTCCTGTACGGTACATATTGTTTGGGAAGAAAAAATCAATAACGTAAAGGGTTAGAGGTTCATCTTTTTTATGGTTTTTTTTTTTTCTTTTTTCTTAAATCAAGTAATGTGAAGTAATGTGATTGTCGACAAACATAACTATAAAAGTAAAAAGTTATATTAAAAAAAAAAAAAAAAAAAAAAAAAAAAATACGGGAATTATATTCAACGTGGAGCGAACATTCTTACAACTAATTTTTATGTTCAATGAAGGAGAGTCTTCAAACAGAGACGTAGTTATGTTGAAGACTGCGTTATCTATAGAGAGGAAATCTTTTAATATAATACACAACACAATATTTGATAAGATACGATATGACATTTAGTAAGATGCGATATCATATTTTCTAAGAAACAATATAATGTATGTGTAATTTGAAGTCTTATTTTTGTACGATCTCTAAGTTCTTCCCCCTTCTTTAACACGTAAGCTAGTGAGAGTCGGTCATTTAATTATGGAACACGACACACTTTAACAGCGTTCACGCACCATGCTTTGCTCTCATCACAATCGCGTGTCCAACCGAGCCTTCGAATAAACCGTAAAATTTTTGAATGGCCGGATATTGACTTTATAACGTTACGGAACGCAGTGTGGAATATGCGTTGAAGAGTTATGAGGGTAACGAACGCCCTGAGAAAACAAATTATATTTATGAGATAACTCAGTCTGGCGGGAGTTTTAACAAAATCTATCGGCCCTTGACACTCAAACTGTAGTACATTCTACATTATCATGTTTGTACTTAGCGATTCACTTCTATATATCTTAGATGATTAAAAATTCCACTCAAAATTTTTGATCGACTCTCTTGCGCAAAAATCTTGGTGAAACTCATGTACTCCATACTACCAATCACTCGGGGGATTCTTCCGTTCGCGTAAAGCTGTGAGGGTCGGAAAGAAATAGGCAAAGAGAAAGCAATAAAAAAAATAGGGAGGTGGTGGCCGCAGTGCCCAATCGATAAATTCTACATGGTGTACTTTATGAGTAACAACCAAAAAGCACACAAAAAGCAAAAGTGTTTACAATTTCCGTTGCGTGGGCATGTGCGCATCGTGGGCGTATCCTTTGACAGGTTTGGATCATTTTCAAATTCTTTTGCAAAATTTGTACGCGATTTCATTTTTCCGAACGGAAGAATGTTGACCGCAGATACAACACACTTGGGTAGACGGACAGACAGATGACTCGACGAGCCGACGGACACATTTAAGTGTATTTTGAATTTGAAAGTAACCAAGATTTTATACACTTTTTTGGGATTTTTGAAGCTTGCTTCTGCGCGTGATAAAAGTATTGCTATGAATATTTTTCCATTTTTGTGCAGGTACTGCAGTATCGCCCATTGAATATACATAGCTATAACTTACAAGTGATGAGCAAAGATCCAATTTTCAATTGCTTCTGAAAAACAGAGATGTGCCCAGTTTCCATCTTACTGACACTGTAGGCATGTCCTTCAAGCGATTTGGCCGATTTCCACCACCGATCAGCGTGCAAGAGCTTCTCATGTTTCTGTCAAACTTGAAGACGGCAGCTTCATTTTTGCTGCCAGGACGGGCATGCCTGAATCGATTCAGAATTTGGCGTCTGTAAAGCTTCTTTGTTGGCGTTTGACAAAATTATTGACTCCAATCCTCATGCCGATCGTGTAAAATGTGCGAACGTAGTAGGGTATCATGCGGTAGGCCAAAGAACCTATCCTTCGTTTTTATTTCAATTAACTTTTTCTTCTTTAAACAAAGTTATGCTCGCCTGTTTAGCCCTAGATAACGGTATTAAGCATAAATTACCTTACAAGCGTACGCAGCAAAATTTTGATAAAAGGTGCTGTTGAACTAACGCACACTTGAAGTTGTGTGCGTTTTTCTTCTTTTTTTTTTTTTTTCTTTTTGCTGTTTATGGTGCTTCCTGTTTTTTTTTTTTTGCAATACACAAGTCAGAGCTCTACTATATCACCACCACTGGCCATAATATGCTCTAAAGCAAAAAAGTTACAACGATGGTAGGGAACAACAACGACAACAACAAAAACCCCTGAATTGCTGAGGTATTAAATTGTGACAGCTGTTAGCCGACAAGTATTGACCATAAGTTTTCCTTGTTATTTATTTATTTTTTTTAGTTTTTTGGTTTTGTTGTTGTTGCAACAAAAACAGAGCTTACTATTGTAACTGCCATTAACTGTTTATGTACTTATAGGTTTCGTACAATAAACTTTTACATAAATATATTTATAAATAATAATAATAATAATAATAATTAATAATAATAATAATTATTATTATTATTATTAGCTTGTAGTTGGGAATAGTGTTTTACAACAAGTTTTATAAATGATATTTTAATGCGGAGAAGCCAAGTGAAAGTTTTTGGCAAGCGTCCATCTGAAGACATAAACTATTAATTATTTGAAAATTAAAGTTAAGTAGTGTTCAGAGTGGCGAACACTATAATTATTGATAATTTTATCTGAGAAATAAAAAAAAAAATAAATTTTTTTTTTAAAAATTAAAAAAAATTTTACTTTTACTCGTTCATTTTTTGATTTTTGCTTAAAAAACTGACATTAATTAAAATGCCTTTGAATCACCCAAGTAGCAGTTTGCTTGCTCGCCTGCTGTTCGCTTCTCTTCCATGAATCATTTCAGTTATTAGGATTTTTTTGAATAATCTTTTAAAGATATATTTATCTCCATATATATATATACATATATAATATCTGACCGAGCAGATCATTTTAAATGTTTGTCAACTGCGAAAATGTGTTTTCGCATTTAATTTGATTGAATGGTTCTCTGTCTTTTGGCCGATATATATATTCATATGTATGTGTGTGTGTGTGTGTGTGCGCGCATTAGTGCATGTTCAGAATTACTTATATATGCCGCCACCCACACGATATTTTTTAAATTTTTTCAAAAATTTTTGTTCTTTGCCTTCTTGTCTCCATTGCCTATACGATCGCGCATACGCTCGCTTTATTTAGGTTAGAAAAAAAATTAATTAGGTCGTTAAAAATAATGGAGATATTGCTTATATTTTTATATATTTATATATACTATGCTTCATGTGCATACACACACATACATGGGTGGCACGATACCACTAAGAGAAGAATATGTGTTTTTTTATTACGAGAAAAGGTTAAAATTCCGAAAATAAGTGAACCATAATATGCATATATTTATTGAAGGCACCCGACACAATACTCTTCCTCAGCCTGTTCAATATCTTATGTAATTCTGTTGAGATCATACTTCCTTCAGTTCTTCTAAATGGTCCTCTATAAATAGTCTGCCTGCAGTGCACGACAGCGACCATTATACCCTGTACTGCCCGAGCTTTTTTATAAGAAAAGGAAAAAAAGTAAGACGATCTCCAAAAAAACAAAAAAACAACATTTTCGAGGAAAGTAGTGAACAGAAAATCGACCTAATTGCTAGGAATTATTTTGCAACAGAAAAAATAGCTTTTCCCGCTTTTGATTCAAACTGCCAGACCTGAAGGGAAGTGTCACGTATCGTTCGTCGTGCTTGTTCGTTTTTGTACACGCACGTAGGTTCGTGTCTTTGAGAAAAACAGTTCGCAAACTAATTGCAGAGAGGATAATCGATTTTTTCGGATCATTCGCATTAGCTCTTCGCTTTTCTTATGTGTTCGTGCTACTAACGACCATCCTAGTCATTCTAGCCATTCTACTTCATCTAACATAAAATTATTTTAAATGATATGATTTGTTATATAATAATTTATTTACTATGTATGTGTATATAGTTGCATGTATACACGTACGTCCACAAATGTATATAATATTTCATCAAGGAGAATTCTTAAGACACATGCTTCCATCGTGAAGCGAACCTTATGTACTCGACTTAGTGTATTTCACGCCGATACTTTTCGCTACCGAACTTTTCAACGTGTATATATATATATATATATATATACACATTTCATTTTTTCCCCTGAAGCTTCTCTTCAATATTTATTGATGTTCTATGCAAGTTCAATACATGCGTGAAAGCAAGCTTTTGACGAAGTTTATCAAATATATTAAGTTTTGCATTTGCTCACAATCTCGATATTCAGACAGAGGTCTTGCTAGACCTCTTGAGCTACAAGCGTATACTAAGTTTGTGCAGCAGTCAGAATGATTTGACATAAACCGATCCTTTATTACACCGATTGATTCAGAATCGCTTTGCGATTTAAGCATGTGCGTCTGCTTAGTCGATATATGAATAAATAATAAATGAAGGTTAAAAAATAGAAACGAATTTTTGGGAAGCCTTCAGCCTTAGTTCACTGGAGTAACGGCAACGGCACAATTACTGATAACAATAACAGTTAGTTGCCGTTCCCCTTACCGTTTTCGTGACAATGCTTTCAATCCTAATATAATCGAATTAATCTCCTTCAAGGAATCTGGCGACTTTATTCTTATTATCAGTTCGTTATGAGCAGACGGCTGAGTGTAACGGCTGCATCATCAAATTCTTAAATTGAAGGCTGCATTTACAAGGGATCACGATGATCATCTTGGTATCTGGGAGATTAGTTAAGGTGAACATCCAAAGGTGAACATGTCATGCGGCACTAGCAGGACGGCGACCATAGAAATGTTCTAGAGATGTTCCTTTTGTTCAACGGGAGTAGTACCTGTTTTAAACTTGACCTCAGGGTTCCCAACGACACACACAATTTTGTGTAACCATTGTCCTCCACAAAGTTAGACAATCTCTATAACCTAAGGGCCTGAACTGCACTAAAGAAACCAGATATATTTATTGGGTACGGCCCAATAAACCTATTCTGGAGAATTTTGAGGCCTATCATTATCTCGTAATTATTTACTTTAGGAATGATACAAATGATTTACAGTAGGATCACTCTACAAACACGGGTTTATTTAAGAAGAATTTGTATAACAAAGCGGGAAAATTGTGATCGCGTTCGTATAACTCGCTAAAAGAGGGTCGTAGAAGGCGATAATGGAATCAGACAGATGTTGAGGTTTTATTTCGCATTAGCTTCTAACGTTAATATAGTTTTTGGCTGGTAAAACTAGATGTGATTATATTTATCCAATTTCAGGCAAACTTCATTTTTAGAAGAGATCATCCCAGTCTCTTTTGCATTCATTATTCAATGGCCTTAAAATCTGTTTTCCATATAGTATTTCAGCCTCATTATTAAAAGCAAGTTATTTTAAACGTAATACGGAAACCGAGTAGTGTTATAGGAGGGTCTGCTGTACGGATTGAATACACTTTTAAGCAATCGTCAAAACTTAACTTGGATTCGTTTTATGGAGAATATGTGTATATTGTGTTAATACACAAGTTAGAAAATGTCTTTTCATGGGAAAAAGATAAGAAAATACAAGAAAAAAAGTAAAAAAAAATTTTCCTTTCTTTCTGTCAAACGTTGTTCTCGTATTGCTGTATTGCAAGCAAGAAAAGCAGGTAAAAATTTTTCACATCCGAAGTGACACTATTGTGTTTTTTGTCGTTGAACATCTGTTTAATACAATTTATTTATTATTGTTTTTATACTTACATTTTTGTTGATTTAAAAGAAAAAAAGCGAAAAAAAAAAAATTACTTAAGATGCGTAAATTTATTCATTGCAATGTTGATTTGCTTTACGTTGGCATCAACAATAACACGAAAAAGCCCGAAATGTTTAATGTTTGACTATAATTTTAGGCATCATTAATGAAATGTAGCAATATTTCTCAAATATTCCGACACATAAATAATTGAATGCAACACTTTCGTATTTAAATATGAGCAACGCAGAGAATATAAATGAATTAATGCACAAAGGCACAACAACACACAATTATTATACGGAGTGAGTCATTCTTTCAATTACATTGTGTTCATATTTCGATATACGAGGGCAATATCCATATGTGGAGCGACCATGCGAGTGTAGTTTTCATTTTGTCAAGTGAACGTCACTTGCCTCAGTTCGAGTTGAGAGTTTAGTTCGGGGCTAAGAAAGTAAACTTAATTTATGAGTTCAGGGCATGCCTTATAATGTTATGATTAACAAGAATGCTCAGGTCATTACATCTCCTCTTTTTCTGATTAGCGATATTGTCTGTGGCGATAACATGCCTGCAATCGACGTGTGACTCGCCTGAATTCGGTTAATATCTATTGAACAAATACCCGAGAAAAGCGATACCGGTTTTGAATTTATGCCAAAGATTAAAAAAATGATTCCGAGTTTTAACCGGAAATCGTTTTGGTATCGCGCACATGAGAAGGGCTTCTAAGTAACGAGTGTCAAGATTGACGAAAGCATCAAGTCAACAAACAATTTCGTACTGTCTGCGATGTACGCGATGTATCGCTAGAAGAATGCTTAAGCTAAATAATCTTGGCTGGCAAATGTGCCGGATAGGCCTCAGCAGTGCGTACACGCACATACTTAAAGTTTTGTGGATAAGATCGACAAACTAGGTGGATTTAGCTTGCGTATATAGTACGCATAGTGATGTGTTTTCAGAGGAAAACACTTAGGATGACCATCCTCATACTAGACCAAACAGTTTATATTTTTTTAGAACTGACCTTGTCGGCTGCTTGCTTACTCGCTTAAGAGTTTTCAACAGTACTGGAGATGAAGGACAAAGTCATAGACAACGAATTGGGATAACGAAAAGCATTGCTTTTTTTTTTTTTGAAGCGCCATAATATTTGTCGAACACGCATGCGTATATCTAGTTGTCGAGCGCGTCAGATTTCGATTCGGGCAAGCCTCCTATATAAGCAAGCACAAACCAACATGGCTATATTTTGTCCGTTCTGAGACTTATCGAACAACCCTCGTATATAGATATGTATATGCAAATATATGTGTGCGTATATTTTTAAAACATACAGTTAGTGTACGTTTTTGTTTGTTTCTTTGTTTGCTTACAAGTATTTGTATGTAAATAGCACTTACCTTCTTTTTATCTCTCATCGAACCTTTGCCTCTAACCATAATTTTACAACCAGTCTCTTGTTCCAATTGTTTGGCGGTCATACCACGGGGACCCAAAATTCGACCGACAAAGTTAAACTGTAATCAAATCAAAAATATAAAAGAATTATTAATTTTTTTGCTTTTTTCCTTTTTAAATCTTATGTATAATAATATGAAAGTTTTTTAAATTTTTTTTCAAAAGATACCAACAAATATAAATCATAGATAATCATAAATAATAATAGAAAAAAATAAATATATATAAAAATATATATATATATATATAAAATATCATAAAATATTATCTACCATGGGATTAAGTATATTGATGGTCATAAGCAATCAATTACAAGACAACATAGTAACATTTATTGCATACTTATTCAGAAATTCAAGGTTCTATGGTATTTGTGTGTGATGCTGCTGGCGCGGTAAATAGCGTGTTGCTCAACTGATTAAAGATCGTTTACTACAAATTAAATATCAAATCACTTTTAACGCTTTACGAAGAAAAAGATAATTATTTTTATAAGTACAATAGGAGTAAAAAGAAAAAAATGCCGCCAAGTAAACCATCATACGTTTTAACATATAGTTAAAAGGAAAAGAAAGAAAAAGGAATAAAAAGATCAAACAGATATTAACCTTTGGTGTAATGTTTCGAATTGACACGACTCAGGCCGGGAACAACAATCAATGCAAAATCTATGAATGAACTATGAATGAATGCAAAAAACCTTTAAACCTACATACACATCCATATGTTCGTCTAAAGTTACTTACGTTTATATAGGCAGCACTTAACCTCAAGTTGCTACCACATGTGCTTACTTCCGCATATACGACGTTCAGCACATGCAAGCCTTCTGCTTCATTAATTCAACTTTAAACGGAAGGTAAGATATTAGAGTGTTGTCGTCGCTAACTTAATGTATGTGTAATAAAATCTTTCTTGAAAAAAAATTTCCACAAATTTATTAAAATATTTGAAAACCTTTCACGTTGATGTCGGAACCTCTCAGACAGCTCGTGAAAAGATAAATGTTAACAGTTCAGGTAACCGAAAGTAACGAAAAGGTGGGTGTCGAAAATGTTTAATTCCAAACAACCAAGACCTCCCCATAGAGATTAAGCTACTACACATAATTTCGAGGATTGCACTATTGCTGAAATGTTAGAAGAAAGTCATGGGGGTATGGATCGCTTCCCTCTCTCAGGGGCAAAGTCATCGTGAAAGCCCCATTCGAAGTGAGATGTCCATGGTAAATGAGGAAACCAGTACCATTTTAGCTCGCTACCCTTGTCTTTGGAATTTCTATAACATCGCAGATTACCCTCTGCGAAGCCTCTGACTTTGAACTCATATTAAGGCGGCAAACGTGCTAATCTTTTCATATCATGAATCTATACAGTGGCGCGACCATATAAAAAAGGTATTCTTGTTAAAAAGAAAAACTTCTTCCGGTACACGGCTTGAGGATTTTCTTGCTGCTTGCGGAGGTTTTAAAAGATATATATGTTCACATATTAGACACTATCGCCTATTGCCGACTTTTATCATATTAGGGAACCAACATCTGAAGGAAGTATCGTTTACTTCAAATTTTGTGATGAATATGACTCGCAGCGTGGTATTCACAAGGAAGTAGCTGCCTTACAAGTTCTACGACTATTGCTCTTTTGAAATGATGCCATGAAGTTTATACGAGCAAATGTTAAAACAAATTATAGAAGAAACCAATAACGATTATAAGAAAACATTTTTCCTTCTAAAGTCTTATAAAACGGTGACTGTTGCTACACGTATCTGCAACAAGGAGGTTAAGCTTATTGACCTATTTTTTTTTTTTCTGAAATAAATTTAATATTATTTTTATATATGGTGCTGGTGCACATTAAACATTTTGTGAGTAAAGACAATAAATGAGAAAACATCTAAAGAAAAAAAAAAAAAAACAAAAAGATCAAAAAAAGAAATTTTACTCAGCTTAGATCGAATCTTTTAAAACCTATCAGTTATATATTTGCTTTTTGCGAAGTGAATACAGAATTTAAAGCGAAAATGCTTTAAAAACTATAAGAGATATTATGTGAAGGTAACATGCAAGCGTTAATATCTTACTTTGCAAGGTACAAACCCATGGAAACTATTAAAATACGCTTACCGTTAGCAGCTAAGTCCGACATCTATTGAATAATATAAGAAAAAATGTCGATTTGGTTAGCTTTGGAAATTTAAGTTGACCAATGCTGAAAAGTTTAGACTTAAGTTCGACATTTTAGTAAAAGCTTGTAGCTGATAATCGCAATATCGATGGACGGACACACTGAGGGACGTCATGTTTTAATTGATTGCCACAGTTTTGAAGTAATAATGCCAATTCCATTGGCTGGACATTCGATATTTTCGTCAAAATTTTCAATTGATATTATCAATTTCATTGGATAGACAGACAGACCGACATAGGCGGATAAGTAAATCCGACGCCGATGCCGCGATTGATAATTTACTCAACTTTTTCACTGCCCACGGACCGAAATGCGCACATGCAGTCTTCTGCTAATGTCGATGTTTGACTCAAACTATTCCGCAAATAGTGTTAGTTTAATCGGACGGACTGGCGGAGGCACATGCACCTACTGGTCGACTGTGATGCTAATTTCAATCCTTTTGTCGTCAACGCATTCAGATAGTAATGCTAACTCCATTGGACGGACAGGCGGACATGTATGCATGCCTAAACGAAAACGTTGCATACTTCTATGCGTAACAAATAATTAATTAACTTAACATACATCCAGTGATGAATGATAAGTATGAAACAATGAGGGCATCAAAGGCTTTCGAAAACGAAAAAGAAAAAAGACTTTTTTAGCGTTGACATAAAAATATAAAGAAGAGAAATTAATATATCGACAAACTTTTCTTTTGCTACATCTTTAACGGTTTGCAGTCATAAAAACATCAACAACCGAAATAAAAGACTTTAATAAATGACTGTAACAACGTGCTTTGTATCATTTTGCCTTTGAAAAAGCAACGATGGGAGGCGAGACAAGGATATTTAATTATATAGTTAAGCAGACAAATTAATTATTGTCTACAAAGTTAATAAAGTGTTTACTTAAACTATTTACTATTTGGTAAATGAAACATTTAACTTAATTGATATTTGAATTGTTTGGTAAGAAAGTTGATGGTGTAACTTGTAAGCAAAAACAATAGGAGACTGTCTGTTAACTCCGGTTAATCACCTAAATGTGAAATAACTGATGAGGTCGCCGATTTTGAGTAAGGTAAGCAGCGCGACATCCATTAACATTAATATATTTTTTTGTGTTAAACATTATTTGCTCTTACAGCTATTGTTACCTTTGTTGCCTTTTGTTTATCAAAATTAATTGATTGCCATTAAAATTCTCATCACATATATAATCTTTAAGAAATTTTTTATAGTTTAAGTTTATCAATAAAAAATATATTAATTTCTTTTCTTTTTTTTTTTTATTTATTTATTTTTTTTTTTTTTGTTTCTTTGCAAAATATGCAAATTTATTAGTCTTGAAAGCCTGACTATTGTTATAAATTAAAAATAGTTATCGTTGTTTTAATGACGATACGCAAGCAACTAAGCATTGAAATATATACTGTTTGGCTGTTTGCTAATAAACTGTTATCAAGTGTAAGACAAAACGAAAATTTAAACTATTAATTCAATATATATCTAATTGCTTCTAAAAGAAAAAGTTTTGAGCCTTTTTTAGGCGTGATCGAAAATTCAATGTTCCTATAAAGACAATGGCTACGCCTTAACGTTATCGCTCATTTTTCAAAAATTGTGACAAGCGCGTGACGAACCCCTCTTTTAAATATCACATTAGTGCAACGCGGCAGATCTTGCAGAGATCGAAAATGGGGCCCGTACGAGATTCACGGAATCACGTATTCCCGGCCGGTATGGGGCCCATTTTTTTGAAGTTAAATCCTAATCGTCCATAATATCCTATAACGAACGTTCACACGCCTGCTAGTCATAATAGAAACAAAAATCAATTCAAATTTCCGTAGCCTCAATATGAACTTGTTTGCGGACTGACGAATTTTTCTCATCATCTTTCGTACTTCAAAGAAGATTCCGTTTTTCTTTTTTTACGCATTACCGAAGAATGAGGAATGTATTCACGTTGTCAAAACGTTTGCAAAGCAAGGGAGAAGGAAGCTTCGGAGATCCCGCATTCTTAATCGCCATCAAATTGCAAACTGTTTTATATATGTCTGTCTGCCTCTCTATCTGAACGCATTGCAAATGCAAGAGTCCACTTCGAAGATGGGAAATACTTACACCCAATTGACCCAAATCGATCAAGGGGCATGAACACAGCATAGCAAAGCCTCTGGCCACCTTTGTTTTTAAAAGTAACAAAAAAACATTGCTGTCGGCACGACGACGACAAAAAATCGCATTAGAAAAAAGTTTCAGAGACCGCTATCAAGTCGACATATTACGGAACAGATTTGGTTTTCTTTCTAGCAGTCACATACATCTAAGTAGATACGATGATGATCAGTCAGAACGGGTTATAGGTGTGGGAGGAGCATTGAAGGTCCCTTTCAAAAATCGCTTAATACTTTCTAGATTAATTAATGCATTTACATTCAGTCACTCATGAATATCAAATCGACATTTGACTTGAGATCATTTATATAGTAAATGCACTCACACTTTCGCATACAAATGCACACGTTTCTATGCCTCTGTTTGAATACATATTCTAATGTTAATTGTCAAGATGCGGTATATCGCGTAGAGAAGTCATAAAAAAATTTTTTATGGCTCAATTAAATATAAAAATATTTTCTGTATGTGCATAAGTATACATATATGAGCTTATATTTGTGTATTGCATATTCAGTATCAAATTTGCTGTTGCATGAATCAGACAGTTTTGCATACGTGCATACATACTTACGATGTATTTTAATCACTTGAATCGTTTTCTTTTAAAAATAACAATTTCTTTATATATATATATATATACATACATATATACATACAGTACATACACATGTACTTGCAAACATTCTATACAAACCT